AAATCACAGCAACATTAACAAATTCTCAAAAACCAAACACGCCCCTGCCTTAAGTGCCTCTGTTTTTAGGCATATGCAGAAGCTCTTTTAATGTATAACACAGACGTTCTATGGTCTCTTTGGTCCTAATACAATAATATTATACAGTTTTAATATTAAATGTACTTCTGCTATTATATACAGAGTTATATACAGAGTTATAAAGCAAAATATATACTTGACTACCTCCTAGTGGCCTGTGTTAGCACCGGCTCAAATTTTCATTTAAGTTTTAGCAGTCGGCAGGACTAAGGATTCCCTGCTAATAATTAACTTAATTTGTTCTAACCTCTTTAAAATAATGGGATGGATGGAATTTTCAGTATTTTTAATTTTGTAATATTATTTTGACCACAAAATTGTAATAGCTTGCCTTTTTCTTCCTTCAGAGTGATCTCAAATCTGTAATAATGTTTAGCTCCTAGTTTGTTCAGTAGTCAGATTATCCATTATGCAGAAATTTGTATACAGTTATTTATATTTTTAAACACAGCATGGATAAATCATAATGCTTTCATTTCAAAAGACAGATTTGTCCAGAGGAAAAAAAGTGTGATTAAAAGAAACGTCATAAGTGAGGTGTTGCAGTACTTTGTATCTAGACTATGTCCTAAAATTCACCTCTCAATTCAAGCTTTTATAAGTCTTATCACTGTCATTACTTTATATGCGGTATTAACCATCTTTTTTCATCCTCAGTCCGTATATTTTATGCATATACCTAGTGCATGCTTACACTCCTTTAGCATATATTTCCATTGTGTATGGCTTTTCCCAAAAAATTCTCTCTTTTCACAGAATCGTTTAATGGATCTCCTACAGGCAGCATTAATTTGGTAGGTGTGCTTTTTCAACTGTATAGTTCAAAATATTACTTATTTACTTTAGGAGAGAGCAACCAGTGAAACAAAAACAAAAATGACACTGTAATGAAAAACACATTTGATCATTTAAAAAATGCCAATATATTTTGTTGATGTTTGTTTAAAGAAGTGAAATATGTGTGTGTGAGAGAAAGAGAGAGAAAAAAGGTACTAAACTTGGGGTCAAGCTCAGTGTGATCTGTTTGATCATCCAGGTCATTCTGTAACAGAAAGTGTGATTATTAGTAAGAGGATTACCTTGTACTGTCTAGTAAATTTAATTATTATCTATTCTATGTCACATATTTTTCTAAAACTTCTTAAACGTCTTAAACAGGTAAAGCACTTTTGCAGGTTCTCTGCTTGCCACAAAAATGTTGCCACTAATATATTTTAATTAGAACTTCAAGCTTTAATCTTTTTCATTGGAACATTGATAAAGTAATGGGTAACCAAATAATGAATGCAAATGATAGTTAAGAATATAGTTTTGTTTTTGAGACTATTCTAATTCTGTTTTATTTTGAAAGTAGTGTTTTGCTATTATTACAAGAAAAAATTGCAGTTAAAAGCAATAGAACAAAACATACTGCACATTGAAATATTTAAAAATATAGTACAAAAATAGAAAAAAGATAAATAAAACAGTATTATAAAAATAAAAAGCATCAGTAAAAAGGGTAAAAATCACAGCAACATTAACAAATTCTCAAAAACCCTGGGGGAATAAAAATGTCTTTACTTGGCATCAGAAGATCGGTAATGACAGTACTGGGTATATTTAATTTGGAGGACATTTCAAAATTGGGGGACTGCATTGAAAAAAAAACTTGATGCAATAATGTTTCTGGAATATAAATGGCAACTCTGGCTTTTTCCCCCACTAGTCATTGGATGATCTTTCAAATGTGTCTGCTGATGAGTCCATACAGCTACATGCGTGCATTTCAGATACTGGTGAGCTTAATGTTGATACTTGTGCTTTTATGAGTGATTAAAGTAACTGTAACTGATTAACCCTGCAATTAACTATTTGTTTAATATAAATAGTTTTTATCCCATTATCATCAAAACGTTTTCTTCTTATGCAGAAGCTCGAAGAACAAAGACTTTAACTCATAAAAGGCTTATTTATACTATTTAAGAGCAGATTTCTGCTATTAATTTTCCATTTACATCCAGTAAAAGTTTCTGTTCCATGATACTTTTTAATATATAATTAGAAACTTCAACTTTCAGATCTATGGTTCTTTCATTCTATGAACATATAGTATTTCTTTTCACTTGTGACTTCTTTCAGTAATTAATCCATAAAACCAGATGAAGAATTAAAATTAAATATATTGGAATATGCAAGAGGTAGGAGCACAACACACATTGCTGTTCAAAATTATGGATTCTGCAGACATTGGCCAGTTGCTTTATCCCCAAACTCAGTGCTGTACCAGTTTCAATATTAAGTCATTTCTCTTCCAGCCAACCACTGGAAGGGGCAGGATTGGGGGTGGGTAGGGCGTGCTGGGTCCTTGCTTCATGCAAAGCTATAATATGATTTAGCATGAAGAATGACTTCAACCAACTGCAGCTTGTTCAAGAAAACATAGTTAACGAAGCAATTACTTGACATAATTTCTCAAACCAAACACAAAGGCCACTATTTTTTAAGTGTTTAGTTATGACAAAGATAGAGGCCTTTCTGTATGGTGGTTTCAGTTATTATGATTTAAATTTTAGCATCTACCCACCTTACTCTGATTTTTGGCCCTTTAGGTTTTCTGAAATGATATCTTCTTTGTCTGCTTTATCAGGAGCTCCATTAGAAGTTCTAATGGAACTCTTCCTGTGATCTTCTCCTGGCTCCTGCACTACATGAGACATCTGAAATCCTGATGGCTGCATGAGCAAATACTTGCTATTGCACCCTGCTTTTTGATTCCTATCTATTTCACTTTATGGATACTTTTACTTCTCTAAACCTTATCAAACATAGTTGTTTCTCTTAGTTGTCCCATGCCCTCAAGCCCTTTTGGTCGGTTATTGGCTGCTTGGCTTTTGGGTTGTTGGTTAGCTGTCTTCTTTTTTCTTCTTGATGTATTTTATGTTCTTTTAATATTTATTTGTAAGCTACCCAGAGTCACTATGGAGTCAGGCGGCCTAAAATTGAAATAATAAATACATTTTGCATTGTATGTGTATTTCTGCATGTTGATCATCACTCCAAGGAAGCAATCATTGGTCCAGGACCAAATCCATAATTGAAAGCATCTACCTTCTTTTTTAATATCCAGCTTTCATAGTTTTAAGTTGTTACTTGAAAAATAATGTTTGTCTTAATTATTCTGATCTTTGTGTGAGAGAAATACCCTTTGCCCTTCATAATCCTTTCTATTATTGATTTTCTTCCTAAAATTAGTTTCCTCTATACTTCTGCAAAACATCTTTATCTATTCTTGAGTCTAGGTAAACAAAACTCTCTACCACCTTTAGTTCTCCATCAACTGTAACTTCAGTAGGTATGCTGGTTGGCATTCTTTTATATTTATATTTTAATATAAATATTTTAATATTCAATACTTTTTTATTTCAGTTTTTACTTTGATAATGAGCTCTTTTAAATCTTTACTTTTGATTAAGTGATGTTGTCTGCATATCTTAAATAATGTTTTAGTCTCCTCCTCTGATTCAAATCCTGCCAACCTTGTATTATTATAGGTTAAACTGATATGGGGACAATATGCAATTTTGTTTCACTTCCTGTCCTATTTTGAAGTACTCTATTTCTCCAAATTCAGTTTTTATATTAGCCCCATCAAAAGAATTATTAGGTATTCTCATGCATTCATTAACCTTAATGTATTCCAAATAATGATAAAATCATCAAAAGGTTGTCTTGCCCAGAATAGTATAACGTATAAACATTTGATTAAGGTGGCCCATTCTACTCTATCAATTCTCACGTATTTTAAAGCATCTTGTTTATTGTACTTAATTTCTTCCGCGACAATTTCAAGTTTTCCTTGATTAATGCTACTTACATTCCACATTCAAAATGTATGTGTCCGTATAAAATAATTACATCTATGGCTACTGCATGAACTGCAGCTATCCTCAGACTAGTCAGACTTAACAGTTAGCCACCTTTAATTACATCCATCTTTAGTATTGCAACATGCTGCCCCTAATAAGTGGGAATTCTTGAAGACCCCCCCCCCGCAATGCTAAAATGCTGCCTGTCCAATATGTGGGAGATAGCCTTTCTCCTCTGTGGCCCCCAGGCTATGGTATGCACTTCCCAAGGAAGAATGTTTGGCCCCCACTATCTTGATAGTATATTTAGAAAAACAGGAAAAAACTTCTCATTCATCAAGCTTTAATTATTATTTATGAGTTTCAATTTTAATTATGCCAAGCTTACATATGTCTTGATTTTAAATGTATGGTTTTTATTCTTAAGTTTTATAATTTAAATTTTAATTGTTGTAAGTCACCCTGACTATCAAATAGTCAGAAAGGTATAATATAAATTGAATAAATATATTACAAGGAATTCTTTCAATACTGGCAATAGTGGTGACCAGATTTGCTTGTGTGTTTGGTCTGACCTCATCCTCTCCTCCAGATGTACTTCTGAAAGCTCATTGTTCTTTTGCAATAACTAAACATATGCCTTCTGACCTAGGGATCTCATCACCAGACATTCAAACTCATCTAAATGTTTTAGCCACACCCATCTAGTTTTCTTGTCAGCAATACAGAAATAATTTAATTTTACAGTTTCTTCTCCAAAGTAGGTTGCCTTCCCTTACAGAGCAGAGCATTGCCTGTCCTTATTCTCTTAGCTTCATCCCTCTGCTCTTAGTCTTTCCAGGACTTCATGCTACCATTATTATTCCTCTCAGAGTCACTGAACCTACTGAGGGCTTTCACCATGTCTAGGTAGTAATTTTGTGCAAAGGATTAATCTTAAATATGGTCAGAAAAAAAATTGACCTTTTATTGTGACAAAATGACACAATAAATGACATTAATTCAGCTAACCATAGTTAAAATTATTCACATTTTACAGGTCAAGCATAACATGAAATTCTAATTAATATGAATAAAAAAGTAATCTTCCAATTTCCTTGCATCTTTGAGGTGAGGAAGAAAAGTTAAGACCCAGAAATTTATGTAGCTTTTTTTCTTGCAACATTAACTAAGAATATATGCATATATACCCATCACACCATTCCCTTTTGAGGTAAACAGAAAAAAAATAGTTTCACTATAAGATGATACTTAAGAATTTCATACATGGGAAAGCAGTTTGCATGTCCATCTTGATTTGACTTCTCTCATTTTCAACAGCTTTTCATTTCATGTTTCTTCCACTCTTTCGTCGTCTTCCTTTTTGTCTATCCATTTTTGTTTGTTTTAATTGGTAGTCTATGCTGATTATGACCCATATACTATGGCAGGAGTTTGTAACGACCATGGGAGGACATATGCGTTATATACTATAACTGTTCAACGTCGAACGGCAACTGCTAATGATGAATGGAAAACATATCGCCGCTACAGTGATTTCCATGACTTCCATATGAGAATCACTGAACAGGTAATTTGAAGTTTTCTTGGTTTATTTTTTTCATGAAAGCATTGATTAATTGAAATTAGCAATGGATAAATTTCATTTGGCTTGCCTGAAATCAACTGAGTTTGGTTTAGCTTATTCCCAAGACCATTCTGTGCTCTCCTGATTACACATTGAAACTGGAGTAAGCTAATCTGAGTCTGATGAAATTCATATATCAGACTTTCTGGTTCCAAACCTCAGCTATGTTATTAATTTCATTTATCTTTTATAACCCATGTCCATTGACTTCTTGCAGATATATTTCTTACAAACAACAATTGCGAAATGTTTCTTAATTGCATTACTTTAGAAATGAATATGTAGGCTGACACAACTGAATGTTTCTTCACATAGAAAGTCTTGTTAGCATGTATGGAAAAAGAGGATGTAAGCTGGGCAACAGCTCTTCTTTCTGATACCTAGTTTAGATACTGAGAAAATTTATTCTGCATTGAGAAGCAGTTACTCAAATCTACACCTTCAATCTGGAAAGGCCCAATCCAGAAACTGATGAATGTAAATTCCAGCTATAATTAGCCACAGATGTAAGCATAATGTTTTATCACAGTTAATTCTAGGAAAGGAACAAGGAAAGCAGCCTGAGAGACTGGGAGAAGGCTTTCCTTCTGAGTAGACAAGTAGTTTTAACCATTGTTAAGAAATTAGCAGTGTTCCAGCTATACTGATTATGAAATTTATTTATTTATTAAATTTATATGCCACCCAGTTCCCAACAACTCTGGTGGTAATGTCTTTATGAAATGAATCAGTGGCAATCTCTTTTCCTGAAATACTACATGTGTGTGTATTTAAAGTGACTGCCATGTCTATTTTTTTAGTTTGAAAACCTAGGAAATTTATTGAAGCTTCCTGGTAAAAAAACATTCAACAATATGGATAGAGATTTTTTAGAAAAAAGGAAGAAAGATTTAAATTCATACTTACAGGTATGTTCTCATATCCAGGTTCTTCATTAAAGATTAATGTATTTTTCTCTTACTTGCCTCCCCCATTTGACCTCTAGGAAATTGCAGTAAACTTTGTAGATAATGTAAGGTAGCATGTTTTGGTATGTCAGAATTATACAATAATTTTGTATATAAATACAAAAAGAGTCCTCATTTAACTTCCACTCGTTCAGTGACTGAAGTTACAACAGCACTGAACAAGGGGTATTTGCAACAGGTCCTTGTGGCTGCAGCCATTGCAGTGTCCCCGCAGTCACATGATTGCAATTCGGGCACTCGGCAGCCAACTCACAATCGTGACATTGCAGCGTCCAATAGTCATGTGATCGCCATTTGTGACTTTCACTGCCAGCTTCCAATAAAGTCAATGGGGAACTGGCAGGAGGTTGCAAATGGTGATCACGTGACCATGGGATACTGCAACCGCATGGGAATTGCCAAACCACAGCAACTGGGACTGCCAGAACTGCCATTGTAAGTCAATGTGGTCATGTGATGTTGCACCTTACGCCTGTGTCACTTAGCAATGGAATTCCCAGTTCCAGTTACCATTGGCGAGGACTACCTGTACGGCTGTTAGGAGACTGGCACATTAAATGAGCTCATTACCAGAACCAAACCACAATTATTACAAAGAACTAATAGTCCTTAAAATTAATGTGGTATATGCAACTGTGGCTGGAGTGGGGGTGGGGCATCTAAAATTGTTCAACAATAATAGAATAATTCAGTACCCTTGGTGTAGGACTTCAGGGTAATAGCAGTACTGCAAACTGATTTAAATATAAATTTGCATTGTCTCTTAAGTTTTAATTTCAGATCAAAACATTCGTCTTTCTAAATGTAATTTGCATCTTTTACTTACTAGCTTTTGCTAACACCTGAAGTGATGAAAGCTTATCCAGCTTTAGCACACTATGTATATGACTTCCTGGAAAACAAGGCATACAATAAAGAGAAGGGAGATTTTGCTCGGAAGGTAAGATGTATATAATATAATTCGGCAATCAGAACTTGGTGAAGAATAAATCATACAGTCTATTTTCATTTCATCCAAACTCTGTGCACATAGCCCTTTAACCTATATTACATAATTAATGTATGAATCGTTACTTTGTATAAATATAGACCGCAAATACAATTTTGAAATAGAACCATTGAATCATTGCCAGAGAAGCAATTTTTCAATATAGGATCTTTGTCATGAGAAAAATACTTTATTAAAAAAAAAAGAATGTAGAAGGTGCAGTTCATCCTAAAATTTTATCTAGTTTTGAATGCCCTTTGATCTACCCTTAAATCCTCTGATCCGGTGTTTCTCAACCTCAGCAGTTTTAAGATGTGTGGACTTCAACTCCCAGAATTCCCCATGCTGGCTGGGGGGATTCTGGGAGTTGAAGTCCACACATCTTAAAGTTGCTGATGTTAAGAAACACTGCTCTGACCATTTCAGGCACCACTTGCTTCATAGTTTTCATTTGCCTGCTCTAAAGAGAGAATGCATGTCTCCCTCTGAAATTGCTTTCTGAGGCTGTTTCATATCAGAGAATCAAAGCACAACTTTTTTTCAAATACAGCCCTTGTCAAAACTGATCATTCAGCAGTTGAGGTTAATGTACATTCCTTTGCACAGGTATCTTTTTTTTTTTGCTATGGCTATTCTTTTTAATAAATTATGTATATAAGGCAATGATATTTCAAATATAATTGGAGATTTAATTAAGAATAGGTGTAAAAGAAATATTCCTATTACATTAGCTACCAATAAACTGAGTTGTTTGGTTCTTCCTAAGCCCTTTATGGAATTAAGCAATAAAATTGGCATGTAGCTATTGTGTAACATCAGTCCACATTGACTTTATTTCTTGGAGAAGTAGAGGTCAAGTTTCCTTTGAGAGTAGGCTGAGGACTATGCCTTCCCAAATTATTTTCAAATCGTAGGCTTTAGATTAAAATTGTAAGAAAAAGTGATCTTTTTAAAAATCCATTGCAGATATTTCACAAATGTCATAAATACAGTGTTTCAACAGTGTTTATTTTACCTGTTGATTCACAACGATAGTTAAAGTAGTCAGCCATATAAGGCATCAGATCACATCAAAATTTAACAAACAAAGCCAGCAACTCTTTAAGCACCAAAATTTTGCACAAATAAAGAAAAAGATCAGGATTTTAATTTGCTTTCTGAGATATAGACCAGTGTTCTAGAGTTATATGCCCTAACTAGAATGTCCTTTTACCTCTTGTCTTTACCTAATTAATTCAGAAAGATAGAAGCACTCACAGCAAAGCTTCCATATGAGAAGCACATATTGGAAGAAGTTGTCTTTCAGATATTACAGTTCTAGGCTGCTTAGAGTTTGATAAATCCAAGTTGGCACTTAAAATGATTTTGGAGATTAAACGATAGACACTGCATTTCTTAAGCAGTGGGGCAATATTCCCTTTAATTTTAGGACCAGTTAACAGTTGTTTAACAACTGCACTGTATCTTATCCCTAAGCTGTATGGTTTAGCAACTCTTGTTCCTGTTGTCTAGACTGCTACAGCTATATTTTACATTTGGAAATGTGTCCACTCTTTTCCAAGTCTTGAATGAGGCAAAGGAGTATATTTGGAGTGCCAGAGTAATTTCATAAATAAACAGGTAGATCAAGGGAATCAGTGAGTTCTAGAAATCTGAAAATGAAATGCGTCCACTCTTTTCCAAGCCTTGAATGAGGCAAAGGAGTATATTTGGAGTGCCAGAGTAATTTCATAAATAAACAGGTAGATCAAGGGAATCAGTGAGTTCTAGAAATCTGAAAATGAAATGCGTCCACTCTTTTCCAAGCCTTGAATGAGGCAAAGGAGTATATTTGGAGTGCCAGAGTAATTTCATAAATAAACAGGTAGATCAAGGGAATCAGTGAGTTCTAGAAATCTGAAAATGAAATGCGTCCACTCTTTTCCAAGCCTTGAATGAGGCAAAGGAGTATATTTGGAGTGCCAGAGTAATTTCATAAATAAACAGGTAGATCAAGGGAATCAGTGAGTTCTAGAAATCTGAAAATGAAATGCGTCCACTCTTTTCCAAGCCTTGAATGAGGCAAAGGAGTATATTTGGAGTGCCAGAGTAATTTCATAAATAAACAGGTAGATCAAGGGAATCAGTGAGTTCTAGAAATCTGAAAATGAAATGCGTCCACTCTTTTCCAAGCCTTGAATGAGGCAAAGGAGTATATTTGGAGTGCCAGAGTAATTTCATAAATAAACAGGTAGATCAAGGGAATCAGTGAGTTCTAGAAATCTGAAAATGAAATGCGTCCACTCTTTTCCAAGCCTTGAATGAGGCAAAGGAGTATATTTGGAGTGCCAGAGTAATTTCATAAATAAACAGGTAGATCAAGGGAATCAGTGAGTTCTAGAAATCTGAAAATGAAATGCAGAACAGTTGCACAGAATCTATGCAGATATATAAATAATGCAGAACACGTATTATATATGTTAAGATAAACATCAGGTGATCCTCAACATTAGGCATTCTAATTTTATAGCATTTTGTAAAAATTATCTGATGTCATAACACATGGTATTAGGGTCTGGTTACTTGAGGGACCACCTGTCTCCCATAACATCTGCCCAGCTAATTTAATCCTGCAGGGTTGGTGTGCTCCTGGTTGCTTCATTTAAACAATGTCATTTATTGGGACTTGGAAGTACACCTCCTTTGTAGCAGTACCTGCCCTCTGGAACAAGGCTCCCCTGAGATCTGGATGGCCTCCACTCTGCTATTGTTTAGAAGAGCAGTGAAGACTTGGTTCTTCACCCGAGCCTTTAGTGAGAGAGAGACCCCTTGCTTTATCACATTGCTATCTTTAGCTTTTATCTTTTATTGATATTATTGTAATTTCTTTGATTGTTATGAGCCACCCAGAGTTGTTGAGAGTTGGGCAGCATACAAGTTTAATAAATTACTACTACTACTACTACTATGGTCATCCTACATCAGAGATAAAGCAGGCAAATACAGACTATGAGGACAGAGGTTAATTCTGAAGTTACTTTACATTCTGCTGCCTTCCTTACCAGAGTTCTGTTAGAATATATAGGTCTGCCATTGCTTACTATTACCTGCGTATCATCTTGCAGAATCAAAGTTACATAGGCATATAGCATAGCATTTGCCTGCATTAAAATCCTTCTTATCTCAATAGTTGATGTATCAGAGTTAATGGGCTAATAAGCTTTTAGTATTCACAATTTTTCCTTTTAAATTTCCCCCAGCTTTCCAGAAGCGCCCTTTATATTAAAAAAAAAAAAAAAAATCTCTTAGGGACCAGGATATGAGCTATGATGTGGAAGGTTTCTGCTGAAGGAGACAATTGGAGGCTTCTTTTGTTCATGCAAAGAAGTACTTTGGCACAGCAAAAAAACAGGTTTTGCCCTAAGAAATTTGCTGTTGGAATTTAGATTGAGGAATTGAATATGGAGTTGGATAAAGGACAAAAAAGGAAATCTATCTGATATAGTAATGCTCACCTTGAGTATGTCATGATGATGTTTTATACTCAAAATAATTGAATATGAATGCTTTATATTTATACCATGTATTATTTTTAGTAATTATTTTGTGTTACTAGTCTCCAAAATAGTGTGATGTTTTCCAACATGCATTATTGGATGACTGTAGTCATGTCCTCATAGATTTATGCAAGCGTGGTAAATGTTTTCCTCTTCAGGTGGACACATTTGTAAATCCACTGCGTAACTCTATGAGAAATGTTTCAAATGCTGTCAAGTCCTTCCCTGACAGCTTCACAGAGGGGATGACAAAAATGTCAGACAACATGGGCAAAATATCAGAAAGATTGGGACAAGATATAAAGCAATCATTTTTCAAGGTAAGAATATACTGAATAAGACAACACAGTTTGTTCTATTTTGGATTAATTCAATTAAACATATAAGAACAGAGCAGGCAAAAGATTGAATATGTTCATTACTGTATATTATTGGAAGGATGAAAATATAGCAAATTACCCAGAGAAGGAGTATACCTGAAGATCAAAATTGTTTTTTGAATTTATTCTAAAATAGAAGATTCAACTGGGAAATCTGCTAAGAAATTCAGATGGACGCTGCTGTAGGCACATAGTGGTCTATCATATTTTCCTTAATTTTTGAGATGTCTGATGTTTTGTATGGTACCTGACTTCATACATTAAAGGATGGATTAAAGAAAAAAGGTAGTTTATTAGTGGTTGGGAAAACACTAATTTAGGATTTACTTGCATTATCATTTCTGAATTAGTAGCTTATTCAAATATTTACAGTTGCAGAGTACTTTTATTTATTTAAGTTATGTTCTGCCTTTCATTCAGAAACTCAGTATCTATTTTAAAACATTGAAGTTTAAAAAACTAGCCTTTTGAATAGCACAAAATTGTATAGAGAAAAAGAAATGTGTATTAATTAAATTAGACCTTTGCTATTAGCTAGTTATCACTCTGAGTTCACAGATTAGAAAAAAGAGGAAGAGAGAGGAAAACAAGGGGAAAATAAAGAATAATTGTTTTTTAGCAATGTGTGTGATATTAGGATATATCTCTGACGATTTGCGCCATCCAACTCTTATTCCTCATCTCAAGCGCCCAGGGTACCAATCCTCGGAGTCTTGGGGTTTCAGCTGCGGCTCTTGAATGCCAGATCTGTCTGTAATAAAACCATCCCCATCCATTGTTTAATTGTGGAGTACATATTTTCATTTGTGAGACTGTTGGCATCAATAGGCACCACTTCTCAGATAACCGGATATGAAACCTTGTTAATGCAGTTGCACCTGAGGGGGGGATTAGACTTGTTGCTTGTGTTCTACAGCCCCTGCTGCACAGTGGTATCCCTACCAGAGCTGCTTAGCCTAGTTACTGGGGTAGCAATAGAGTTCCCAAACTAATGGTGTTGAGGATTTCAAGCTACCTTTCCTGGGGAAGGTTTTTGGAGCAGCCTAGAAGTTCATGGCTTCTATGACAACTATGGACCTAACCCAACTTATTGAGAGCCTGATGCCCCTAAGTGGCCCAGACTAAATGGGCAGATGCAATGTGATCTGGAAGTGGAGGGAATCAAGCTGAGTCCTTTGTTGTGAACAGATCACTCTCTGAATGCTATTTGCAATGCAACCTCCTCCACAGTGGAAAAGAACCTATTAGATTGGTCCACCCCCAGTGCCTAATGGATAAAGGGAGTGTTTTGAGAGTTTCCTGAGGATATGGTGGCCAGTTTGGTCAGAGTTGCCCAATGGAATAAGAAAGTGATTATGGCACTTGACCACATTACATTGGAGCACTCTCTCTCTTCTCACAGATCCAGCTACATCTTGGGTGCTAATTATAACAATTTCTGAATTGGGGGCCCTTGCTCATAGTCACTTATGCCGTACTCACCCCCTATTTGGATTATTCTAATGCACTCTGCATGGGGCTACCCTTGAAAAGCTTTCAGAAGCTACATTGGTATAAAATTGTGGCTGCCTAGGCAGTAATATCTGGGATTCTAGTTGTCACCTTTAAGGCCCTACACAGCTCCAGACATAGTGATCTGCAGGATGCCATATCCTATATTCATCTGCCCATCCAGGTAGGTTGAATAGGGTCAACTTTTTCAGGTCCTGTCTACACAAAAAAGCCATTTGACAGGATCTTAGAAGTTAGCATTTTCAGTTGCTGCTCCCATACTCAGGAATTCCTCCTCACAGAGACCGATCTGCACCTTGCCTTCTGGGTTCAGAAGAGCAGTTAAAACCTTTTTACATCACTCACAGGGCATGCTATGATTGAAATTTGGAATTTGGCAGATCATGTTTTTGAACCTTTTTAAAACATAGTTTTTATTCTGTGTATGGTTTATGTCATTTGTAAGTTTGTTATTTTTGAGGATGGGAGGGTTTTTGGCTTGGTGATGCTTCTGATTGTTAGCTGTCCAGGGCCATTGGGAGTGAACAGCATAGAGATTAGTTAAATAATCTCCGTTGCTTTGGAACAACTTGCTTGTCATCAAAGCAGCTAGAATAGAGGTTCTCTAACTTTTTTTTTTTTTTTTGCTCATAGTGCCCTTCTGAGCCTCATTTATCTCTGTGACCTCCCTCATGGTCACTGTTAGCTGGTAAAAAGGTAGCTGTAGCTCCTCAGAAATACAGCATGGCCCACACTGAGAACACTTGCTCTAGAAAAGTATACTACATATGAGTAGCAGATAATATTTTTGTGTGTAAAAATCATATACTTTCACATACTTACTATCATAAGTAGCATAATATGATTTCTAAATATTTTGTTTGGCATTTTATATTCATATAGCAGTTGCTCAGTTTGCTTAGGTATATTTGACAACCCAAGTGACCTTTTCCGTGGAAGTTGCATGCTCTCATACTTAATTTTTGGACATAGTAAGACTTTGATTATGTAGATGAATCATGTTATGATTAAAAAAAAAAACAGAACTACTGTACAGAAAACTCCTTGATTCTAATACAAAATGTAGTTTTAGGCTTGAATATTATGGAAGCTTCTACTTTGCATGCTTTGCAATTTCTTCACATTTCTTTTTCACAGTATAAGAACAGAATACATTATCAGCTCTGCAAATCCTATTAAATTACCCAAAGCCCTAGATTTATTTCAACCCTCCTTTCCTCCTGTGTCATATTTCCAATTAATGTGTCTTTGCAGTGCTTCACATTTTTAGAAAGCTAAGTGGTCTGTACTCAATGCCTAAGTTGTATAGTTCATTGCAGAAATGGATGGGTTAGGCCTGACTGTGATGGAATGGAATTATGAAGGCCAAGCTCAGGGAGACAACCTTTTCTTAGCTCGCCAGAACCG